GTTAAAACTCGCCTAACGGAAAACGACATGTCACAATCTATAGAACGGGTCGGGAGATAGATGCAGTCCTATGTATCGAACAACTAGACATAAAGTTTGTTATCTTTTTCTTTGATACTTTGAACTTTTTGAGTTTTCATTTTATTTTCTTTTATGCATATTTGTGTGGTATCACCCCCGTTGAACTCGGTTTGCATTACGGCCCAACCACTGTTTGATCTCGTCTGCCTAAGATCAATTCACAACGTGGGTAGGCAGACTGGGGATCAATGCAGTTACCTTGGTAACCAGGCGTTGGAAGTGAGTTGGGAACGACGAGGCTGATATCAAATCTAACCAGATTCCCACCCGAATCACCAAAAGGTTAGAACGTCACATTTGGGTGCCGCGACCGATACCAAGCCAGTTGGTCGTCACAGGACGAGACAACACGACTGACGCGACAGGCGGACGTCACGTTTAGAGCAGCGACACCGTGAACGGAGCAGCGAGGAGCGAACAGCTGGCGCCGCGGCGAGGACGTCACAATTGGTACTGTTTAGGGACGTCACAGTTGGTGCCGTGGTAGACCAGAATAGAACGTCACAGTTGGCGCTGCGACAAGGGGATGACGTCATATATATATATATATATATATATATATATATATATATATATATATATATATGTATGTGCGTGTGTATATGTGTGTTTCTGTATCTATCTATCTGTATATATATATATATATATATATTTATAAATTCTTTCATTAAAAGAAAAAGAAAGAAGAATGTAGATTAATGTAAGAAAAGGAAGACAATTAAAAATCAATAAATCATAAAAGAAAGAGGAAAACTAAGGCATAAGTTAGCATAAGAAATCAACCGTGCTACCAAGAGAAGGAAAAGAAAAGAGAGGAAAAAAGAGAGACCATATCCAAATTTTACAGATACAAGGGAAACAGAAAGAGAAGAAAATAAGATATGAGATGATGTTGTTGACACCAGTTTTAACCAATATATAGACACGTTAAGATGTAGAATTCAGAACTGAACGGAAATATATCACAAGATAGAAACATATTTCAGATAGCATTTCAGACTTGACGACATTTTGAATTGAATCACATATTTAAGCAAAATGAAAAATAGGATGTAAATAATAGCGATTTTAAAAAGAAAAAATAATAAACAAACAAAATCACAACTTAAGTACACCTACCTTAATTTATAAATTAGAATAAAAAAATTCAAATATCTATACGACTTTTACATATGCATTTTAAATTAAAATCTATTATCAAACATCATCAGTAAAATAATTTCTTATGCTTTCTTATACTTTTCTTTTCTTTCTTTCTCCTTTTTTTCTTTATTGGTTTTTTATTTTCTTTTATTACTTTAATATTTCTTTCTTTCTTTTACTTTTATGGGAATACTATATATATATATATATCCTGATTTACATTCTACGGAAAATTTTCAAAAATTTAAAAAGATGTGATGTATCGTAAATACTAATTTTAAATAAAAATAAAATTTTATTATCAAAATTTTTCATCACCTAATGAAGTGGCTATAGACGTCGAAACAAATATGCATTTTCGTGATAACTTGCATATTCAATTGTAACAATATATATATATATATATATATATATATATATATATATATATATATCTACACATTCCTTAAAAACGTCTGACAAGTTACTGCGGGTAAAGTTATTTCTTATATATTTTAATTGTTCTCATAATATATTTTTTTAATTTTCTCGACATAAGATATGTGGAAATAGTCCGAAAGTTCTGTATGTTCGAGCACTTTCGAATATATGCTTAATCATCATCAAAGATGATTTTATTTTCACCTTTAACTGAATCTATGGATATTAATGTATTTAGCATTATTGGACTGTTTTTTTTTTATGTTCAAAACACGGTCAGCACATTTTGGGCGTATTTATGATTAATATTGTAAGTATTGCCATATCGTTTTTTTATTAATAATATTAAATACATATATATATATATATATATATACAGACACACACACACACACCCGGGTTGAAGAAGACGAACGAATTTTTCGTCAATTGAAATAGTCCTATTCCATGTATGAAATAATTTTGCATATTATTGTGTACTAATTATTTGCACTGTAATAATAAATGCATTGATGTCTTTTTATGAATCAGTTTTAATATTTCATTTTACTAAGGTCCACTTGGATCATGTACCAACGGATTTATTACCTTTAATATATATATATATATATATATATATATATATATATATATATATATATATATATGAGTGAGAGAGATATAGAGTCAGACAGACACGAAATACTTTGCTTAAAACAAATTTCCGAAATAGTTCTGGCAATGAGCTTTTTGCTATTTTCTCTCTTATGAGCCGACTATATATATATATATATATATATATATATATATATATATATATATATATATTTATATATATATATATATATATATATATATATATATATATATATATATATATAGGGTTTATGCGTCTGTGTGTGTGTCCGTGTGTTTAGAAAAATCTATTAGATTAAAACTCACTTCTAAATTACTCCTTGATCGAAGAGAAGGAAACAAAAGAGTATCATTTAAATGCGAAATATACAGTCGACAAAAACAAATTCATCGTTGGAAATGACAAAGTCTAGATACCAAGTAAAAAGGAAATTAAAACTGACCTAGTAAAATGAGGGGAAAAAATTATACCCTAGGAAAAATTGAAAGAAATAAAGCCAAGCAGATGTTACAATTTCAAAGGCTGATTTGAAGATTGCTGAAACTTCTAAGCTGAAAGAATATTCTAGATCAGTCTTTCTCATCCGAGTTATTTATATATGTTCAAATAATGCTCAACACTAATTTGAGAATATAACTTGCCTAACAACTTTGACGTCTAGGAAGAGTAACAGCTATTGGCTATAAAATGGACATAGGCAACCCGAGTTCAAATTTGGACATAATGACTTTGTGTTCACTTTCGATAAAAAACACACTGAGAAAAAATGAATCCATATCTCCAACATCCACACACAGCTATATGTTAAATAAACGAGTAGAATGTTCTCTGTATATATCTCTAAGATGAGGTATTATGATTACTTGAAAGGACACATGGCCCAGTGGATAAAGACGTTGGTTAGACCCAGTGACTAGACCCAAAGAATTGTGAATTCAGCAGTGGTGAACTAAATCCTGGAGAAGTGAGTAAAAGGTAAATAACTGCAAGAGGCATGGCACATAGAACTAGAATAAATCTACCACGGTGGACGAAATAAAGTGTTCGTTCGAAATTACATTCACCTGAATACGGCCGGAGCGTACAAAGGTCGAAACGTTTTGAATATGGCAATGAAGATGAGGATAACAGTAGATAATGTAGATAATGCAAGGGCGGTTTCTCTTGTTAAATATATATATGTTAATTTGAGAGTGTAGTTTAAGTAGTAAATAGAAAGTGTGGAACCGTAACTGGTATTGGGTGTGAAAAGAGAATCGGTAACCGTAGTTCAAATTCAGGCATATTCTGTTGCGTTCACTTTCGAAAAAAAATCGTTTGTGAAAGGAATAATTTAATTTCTTCCACACCGCATCCAACTGTATACATACATAACATATATTAACATGTAATAGTATAAAATAATAGGTTAATCAAGAGTTAAGAATATCGTGTTAAATATAACAAGAAAATAGTAACTGCGTAACAGAGAGAGAGAGAGAGCGAGAGAGAGAGTAGCGGTGAGATTTTATATATATATATATATATATATATATATATATATATATATAACAGGTTATAGTGGGTTCTCTAGCGTCGGTAGTCACTCTAGGGCAATAACTATTCTGAGTAGAAACCATCGGAAAACATCTCCCAAGAATGCATGGTAATTTA